CATTTATTCTATTTCTCTATGCCAAACATGCATTTAGGTTTATTATGAATAAAATCTCAACTTTTGTAAAATTACACAAAAGCCCCAAACTTTCACAAAATTACCAAACCAAGCCCAACATCTCAAAATACCAAAATTTAGAGACAAAATCCATAGAGAGGAGTAGGATATCCCTACCTCGAAGTTTGAGCCAAAAAGGAGATGAAGACTCGAAGATCAACGTGCTTCAAACCCCAACTTTTTCAGATTAAAACGAAGCTCTCAACACCCTCTATCTTTATAACAAAGGCCCTAGGCTAGATTCACACTCTAGGGAGATGAAATCTTAGAGAGAATATACTTTTAGAGAGAGAGAGAGTGTCGGATTAAGGGTTTGCTCAAAGAAAAGAAGTGAAAAAGTGATGTTTTAGGCGCTGCTGTGCGCTGATATAAAACACGCTCGCTCGAGCAAAGCTTTCGTCGCTCGAGCGACCAGACACAGAAAACTCTCGCTCGAGCCAAGAAGTTCTCGATCGAGCGAAGAAAAACCCAGACCGCTCGAGCCACGAAAAGCTCGCTCGAGCCAGGAAATGCAACTCTCAGGTCCAGAACCAGACGCAACACCACTCTCGCTCGAGCGACATACTCCTCGCTCGAGCGAAGGACCAAAAATCTGGGCAGCAACACTAGGCTCCCAAACGCAACCGACCTGAAACAAACCTGCCCAACGCATCTTATAACTCAATATACAAAGTAAAGAGGATGCAAACTAGAAAATAAACAACTGCCAACATCCACGGACACATGTCCGGATCACTGTACAACAAGGGTAAACTCGGGATCGCTATACTTAAATAATGTCGATCTGGTCCCCAATGTATAAATATATTTCAATGTCCGTCCTCAATGTTTAATTTGAGTCAATCTAGTCCCCAAATGTTTAAATTGCATCTACTAACAGAGTTAGATTGAGAGAATAAATTGAAACACTTTTTATACATTATGGACCAGATTGATACGACTTGAACATTGGGAGCAAATTGAAACAATTTTATACATTGGAAACTAAATTAACACAATTTAAACAATGGGGACCAAAATGACATAAGGCTTATCCTTTGGGGACTAAAAATGTAATCAACCCAAAAGTAAATACTGCTCTAGTTGAAGTATGACTTGGATATATACTAGGTCCTCTGTTTGAGGCAAAAATTAAGAAAAAAAAATCCAATAAAACTAACTTCATTTAAAAGTAAAGGGTTAATTACATTTCTAGTCCCCAAAGCAGGAGTCATTTTGGTCCCCAATGTTTAAATTGTGTCAATTTAGTCCCTATGTATAAAGTGTTTCAATTTGGTCCCAATGTTGAAGTTGTATCAATCTGGTTTATAATGTGTAATTAGTCTCCCAATATAACTCTATTAATAGATGTAATTTAACATTTGGAAA